TAAACTTTTTCTACATTCTGGAAATATTTTTCTTAATAAGAAGCTGACATGAAGTCAAATGACACGGTTAAAATTTAATGACGTGTAAACATTTGAAAAACTTTTAATAAAGTACTTTCTCTACAATGGAATTGGTCATAAATGGGAAAAGAACCTTTTTATTATTTTATTTTATTTTTGAAGATGAACATCAATTTAATTAAAGAAACTGATGAAACAACGAACAACGATAATGATTTTGCTAAATCGTCGACATCATCAACAGAAGCTACTGAAATCCAAGCTCAAGGCATATTTCCTCAAAGTTCGATTCGTAAATTTTTTCCGTTGATTATTCCAACAACAACGAATCCTTTCGGGGAATACATTCCAATCCATATTGCAATCCAACGATTTCAGCGATCTCCAGTGAATCAAAATCCACCTTATTATGAAGTTCCTGTGCTCGGCAACTTGCCAACGGTTCGTCATGCTTATGCGGAATGGTATTTTGGAATTGATGAAAATCCTGCAATCATCTCATGTATAAGAAAGTATGGGAAAGAATGGGAGAAAAGGAATCAACGGAGATTGTCGAGAAGAAAGATTTTGATCCGTGAGATTGAACTAAGAGAGACTGATTTTTCTACTGAAGAAGTTTTGGAGATTTTAGAGATTTTGCGGGATGGAAGTACTTTAAACAAATTAATTGATGTTAAATTATTAGGGCATGATAAATAATGGCATATGGTTGACCGCAGTGACTTTTGTTTCTATTTTTGTAATGCAAATTCATTGGATTTCAAAAAAAACAACTAACTTTGTCAGTGAACAGTTTTTTCTAAAAATAAAGTTTTTCAACCACAACATTACTATAAAAAGGTATAAAATTATAAACCTTTATTCGTTCTAAATCAGCACTTTGTACTACAATAGATATCATTTATATGGAAATGCTACGCCACATATTTTCTAATATAATATATTCATTGTAATGATTTTATTCAGAATTTCTAACTAAAAAAAACTTGTTCCCATAAAAAAAAAAAGGAAAAAGAAAATTACAGGATGAGTGCACAAGGTGATAAAAGGAATTCCCTTATGGAATCATTCATGAGTGACAGGCCGTCTCTCTGCATGTCTACAGCTACAATAGATTCCGAAACACTTTTACCACCACCCATTCATTTTACGACAACGATTCATGATCCACCTATGTCAATTCGTCGAGATCCTTATGTCGCTTCACAATATTTTCAACCAAACTTAAAATATTGTCCCTTAAATTCAAATAATAATGGCGAAATCAATACTCTCAATTTAGAAAAAAATTGGTCTTTACTTGATGATATAAATCTTTATCATAAGTTAATTAATGATAATTTAAATATAAATAATAAAAATGATCAGGAAGAGAAAATCGCAACAGAACAAGGAGAAATTTTGAAAGAAAATGAATATATAAAACCCTTACTAAGTCCTTATGATCCATCATGGGTTCCTGAGCCACTCTCTTCCAGTCCAATATTATCAAAATTTGCTTTTTTCGAATCCGCTGAAAACGGTTCACCTTCTCCCCTAAATAGCAGTAAAAGAAAGGTCACATTCGCCATACCAACACCAATTAAATCACAAAGTGACGAATCGCAATTCGCATCAACTTCTAATCCGGAAACATTATCAAGCGATGTTCATTTAAATGTTGGTTTATTAACAAATGAACAAGGAGAAGTATTTAAACCTAAAAATAAATTGAAAACATGGAAAGAATTATGGTCGATGCCTTGGAAAGATGAAGAAACAAAGCGACTTACTAAAAAATTCTGGTTTACCTTTTCCATTACTTTTTGTTTGGTCTTAATATTAGCGGTCATCGGTAAGTATCTAAGTTCGAAAGGTATTTTCTTTTACAAAATATTCTAAAAATTAATAATGCTTCCTTTGATTATAGGAATTTGTCTATACGCTGTATTTTCTCCAAAAACATTCAAAAAAGACTTATCAAATGACATTTAAATGTTATTTTATTCTTATTAAATGTAATATGATATAAAATTTATATGATAAATTAAAAGGGCTCGAAATAGTTTTTTCCTTAAATGTAAAAATCGGAATTAATTTTAAAATAACTTTCCGAACAGTTTTGCTGACATAAATCTATTATGATTCAGATCTAATCTTTTGTTGAGATCATCTCGATTCAAATTGTTCCATGATAATTTTGGAGTACTGTACTCTCTTTTCTTTTAAGAAACGTGGATTTTCTCAATTACAAGTGTACAACAGCAAAATCTTTAAAAAAAAAAAAAATTCATTCATTATGACTAAAAAGCGATTTAATTAGAACTTTAGAGGTACGTTTTTGCAATACTGCGCTTAATTATTTGTTACATCGAATACGATGATCTACAAAACAACTAAAACGCCAACATTGTTATAATAACTGCATGAAAAAATGATTTGAAAGTTAAATTCTCCTCCTTTCGAAAAAAAAAAATTTGACCTCTCTCAACTCATTAAATTCTAAATAAAACATGGCATCAGATTTGACAGTGGCTATAATTGCATTGTCTGTTTGCCTTTGGCTTCTTGTGATTCACGTTCAAACTCCAATTGAGTTACTATTTCAAACGACAAAATCAATTAATGAAAATAATTCGATAACTTTACGACCTGATAATGACGATGTATATGCGAACTTATATCGAGAATCAACTTTTGATTTTGTCCCAATAGCGTGTAAAGAAACAAAAGCGATTATAAATGTTGAGAATGCGATTGGGATAATTACCTTTTTTCAGTTTCCAGATGGTCTAATTCATGTGTCAGGGGAAATCAATAATGTTACCAAGCACGTTTCTTCTAAGAGATTTTATTTTGAAATTAGGACATTAGAAAATAAAGGTGTTAATGTTATAATTAGAAATGATGAATTGTTTATTAATAGAAAAGATGATGAAATCATTCACTTTATGTTTAATACAAGATTAATTTCAATTAATAGTAAATGTAATATTAATCAAAAAAGACGACGAAAATATGTTATTGGAAGGAAATTTACCGTTTATATTTTGGAAGAAGATGATGAATAATAACAATCAACTACCGCGGGATTTTCTACCACGAGTTCAATATATAAAATTGTTCGCGAAACATGTATTCTTTCAAGACGGTTTGCCTTTTTGTACTTTTTTAAAATGGCACGAAAATTTTGAATTTGAAAAATAAGACTGTGTTATTCTCTAAAAAAAAGGAATTTATTTAATCATTCGTTACGATAATGAGCTCTTTTAAAGATATGAATTAAATATACAGTATATTATGTAGATATTAGAATAAAAAAGGAATTCTAGAGCCTAATGCACGCAAAATTCAAAACAATATCAAATTGTATTATAACCAAAAAGTAAATTTGGGATTAGAAAGTATAAATTTATAAAAAATTAATTAAAAATAATAGTATTTGTTTAATAATTTTTCTCTTTTGCTAATCCAAGTCAAGGAATTTACCAAATAAGGAAACACGTTCTAAAACTTTTTAATAAAATGATCTGCATAAAATTTGATTGGCTTTTACATACTTTTAAAAGTAACGCGAAAATTTTAAAAAAGAACCTTGTGCAATACATAATCGTGATACAAATTTCGTACTTTTACTAAGTTTACATGTGAAAAAGCTAAAACGAAAGGAACATTTACTATATTTAACTATTTAAAAGTTAGTGACCAACTTTGTCAAATGCATTACAACAATATTGTTAAGATTCATTTTTTTATAAAAATTTAAATAAAATTTTATTATAAAAATAAAAACAACTATCGATTTTGATCTCGTTCCTAATAAACTAAAGATAAAAAAAAATAATCACGTTAGATTTACGAGATAAAATTTATACATTTTTAAATGTTCCTGTTTAAAAAAAAAAAAAAAAAAAACATGGTTTCCCTAGATAAACGCCAAAAGATCAACACTGTTAGGAGCGACGCATGATGACTGAACTGGGACCAGAAACGGTTAAACGCAGGTTTTTCTCTCGCAAGGAAAGAAAAATATTTTCATCTCTCGAAGAGAAGAAAGTTTTTATCTCTTTAAGAGAAGAAAACAATACATAGCGTTCTGTATATACACACAAAAACTCGCTTCGTCGAAAATAAAAAAAAGATTACTACGTAAGTTACAAAAGTCCTTACTTTTTATTGGTTTTTCTTTTGGATTTTTTTTGTAAAATTTCTTTCGATTTTCTGGGATATTAAAATATATAAGGGAAGGGTGAGGTGGAGAGTATTAATAATAAAATCAAGAAGGGTAAAGGAAAAAAAAGATGAAATTACACTTGGGGATAATAAAATATATAAGGGAAGGGTAAAGGAAAACGTTAAAATTTTTGTGAGGTGAAGGTGGGGAGTATTTATAATAAATCAAGAAGGGTAAAGGAAAAAAAGTTGAAATTTTTGTGAGGAGAAGTGGAGAGTATTTATAATAAAATCAAAGACGCGTAATATGGAATGTTTATGTTTACATCAGCCTAACTATTGTTACTGATTCTAGAGACGCGTTATTAATTTCTAAAAATAAAATTATTGAGACGCGTTATTCTTTATTGTTACAACTGAATTTCTAAAAATAAATTTTTGTGAGACGCGTTATTATAAATATTGATTGTTGTGGTTCTGATTTCTAAAAATAAATCATTGCTGACGCGTTATTATTTACTGATACAAACTCCGATTTCTAAAAGTAAATTATTGACACGTAAATGAAATTAAACGCAAAGTTTTAAAGAAAACTCTAAAATTAATTTTTTTTATTTTATAAGAAAAGTAAAGAGTTTTTATAAAATTTATTACATAAAATAGAAATATGCTGATAAATCGAATCTTATTCCGTTCGAAAAACTTCGGCAGATATAACCTGTAAAAAAAGTGTCAGCATGTTGTAAAATGCATGTTAAGTTCGAAATTTTGAAAATATATTCGCGTTAAAACTTCTTATCTCGATAGTATGCAAAACGACAACTAATATGATAATAGTAGAGGAAATATCTCCAAACGACAAGAAAGTTCACGAGACTGTCAGATTATAAGGTACGTATGATTTCAATATATTTTTGGTAGTTATCGTCCGTTAACGCCTCCAATCGAAGATAAAAATTAGAATCAATAATATTTCCAACGTTTGGACAAGATATCTCGGATTATTTTCCTCTAGACTACCAATGTACTTTTGCCCCTAAATGATGGACCATTTGCGATAGGGAGATTGAAACGAAAAATCCATTATCATATTGTCATACTTCCACAGATTAAAGGAACTCGATAAGAAAATAAGCGTTTCTTATTCATGGCAAAATATAACCAAAGCTAACACCACCTTCTTTGTTTATAGTAATAAGGTATATGATCCTTCAAATGAGGATAATTTGTTTGGAAATGATAGCGTTACAGAATGGCTTCGAGGTCTCCTCGGTAAAGATGCAACAAGAGAGATTCTTCACACAAGGAGGTATCAAAATGTTAATCTAATTTTAAAGCAGGAAACGTTCAAGGTACAACCATCGGATGTTTCGCGAATAGTATAATGACAGTCGAATTCACAGGAATTCTTTAATTAAGTTCATTTCCGCTATAGAATTTGATTGGTTTCTATCATGGCAGCTTGGTAAATATCGAACGACATCACACATTATATTATTAGTCACGTGTTATTCAGAAGGCGAACATTTAAAGCGCACAACACTTGATTCATTGGCCAGTACGGATTATTCTGACAAGCACAAATTATTAATGGTAATCGCAGATGGGACATAACCGGACCAGATAACGATAAAACAACTCCGGAGATATGCGAGGATTTAATTGAACCATTCAATTTATCTAGTTTCGATTTAGCCATAGGAAAGGTAAAAGAAACACAAATTATCGGATATATAATTGTAATGGACATCATGTTCAAATGCGTTTTATTAATAAAGATGGCACACCAGAAGAACGAAAAAGGGCTTAAATCCGGTAAACGAGATTCACAGCTTATATTAATGGAATGGCTTAGCAATATATTTTTTAACGAACGTATGACACCATTGGAATTCGAATTGTACATTAACGGGTGTAACGTCTTATAAATACGAGATGAGATGCAGAAACGCTAGTAATGAAGGATAGTGTTAGTAGGATGGTGGCAGTGATGGAACGTGATCCAACGGTTATGGGACTTTGTGGAGAAACGAAAATAGCGAATAAGAAACGAGTTGGGTTACAATGATCAAAGTATTTGAATATTATACTTCGCATCATCATGGAAAATCTTTGAATCAATATTTGGTGGGGTAACCTGTTTGCCAGGGTATTTTTGTATGTATCGTATCAAAGCACCAAAATAATGGATATTCCATTCCCATACTCGCAAATCCTATCGTAGAATTATATTATTCAAACACCGTAGAAATGTTGCATCAAAAATTTATTGCTCCTTGGAGAAGATAGGTACCCTAACACTTTAATGTTGAGAGCATTCTCGAAACGTAAAATGATTTATGTACCAAAGGCGATATGTAAAATTATAGTTCCGGATGAGTTTAAAGTATTATTGTCACAAAAAAAGAAAATGGATTGACTCTACGATACGTCATTGATGTAATTAATTCTCGTATCACAACTTTGTGGTATGTTTTTCTGTGCAATTTGTTACATTTTTGGAATTGGTTAGAACGGTTGTATTACCTCTTCACTAATATTTTTGGTCTATTTAATCATTGCCGGTGGCTTAGTGTTGATGATACTTTTCCTTGATATTTAATGCTGCCACTTTCCTTTTACAAGCGTTTTTGGTCATCTTTACTAGTACCAATCACAAAGTTATTTGTCATGTGGATGATTATTTTTTGTCGGCCATGCCTGTTTGGAATTTCATCTTACCTGCTGGCATTTCGATGATTTTTCATGGGGTGCAACTCGTAAAATTTCTTGTGAAGACAATGGTCATGGAGGAGACTAACCGATGTATTTGGAAGAAATCATATTCCAAGAAAGAATAATGTGTCAACTTGACCATTTTATCATTAGTAACGGAATTTTTTTTTTTTAAGGATCCGTGAATAACATTTTCTTTGATTGAATTAGCTAATAAATATTTCAAAAGATTAATTAATTAATTAATTCCGATGTCAACCTTGACAAAATTAATATAGAAACTATGACTACCGCGTAACCTTCACAAAATGTCACGAAGTGACCGGCAATAATGTTTCCCGCCAGAATTAAAGGGCAGTATTAAAGGGGGAAATCTAAAATATTTTTTCACAATCATGTGCTCATAATTAGCTTAGAACTAAAATTAACAAAATTTTCAGATTCCCTTTTATGACGCCCTCTCAAATAGAAGTTTGTCAACAAAAAAAATTCTGTCCTGAAATAATTAGTAAAAATGAACAGTGGGTGATAAAAAATGTCTCATGGTTTCGAGAAGGCAGAAACTATATGCTGCGCAAGCGTTACTAAACCAGACAATTATATAATTAATAACATTATATATTTTATTAATAGAGATAATTGTCAAAAATGTTGTTCTTGGTCAAAGACGAGAAAGGAACGAAAGATGAAAGACGGGGTAACAAAATTGAAATATTTAAACTTGCCGCAAAAGCAGATAAGTTTGGAAAAGATAAATTCAATCGATATTTCTGTTTTGGATTTGGACTACATCTACCATCAATTCGGGTATGAAGATATAAGCTGATAGATCTAACCAGACTGGGTTAAACAATTTACTTTAAAATGCTAAATTGTATTTATTGTTATTTGGCAATTTTTAAAGGAAAGAAGTAGGCACATTTATCGAATTCAGGGCCTGAGGGAGTTATAATGTTGATTCCTTTCCTTTACCACAAACCGCCAAAGTCACCCAACTTTTTGTTCGCTATTTCCACCACCATGTTTCCGTTCAATATCTCCGTGATCGGTTGTCATTACTTATCAGAATTTTTTTTTCATTGGCACATAGGTACCACAATTTGTGTCATTCAGAACTTAGTGTTTCATCAATATCTGATGGAAGCTCATTTCAAAATCTGCCAATTCCCACGTGAATAATTCAATTAAAGAAAACTTTGCCATTACCAGTTCAATGTAATTATCGCTTTTTTAACAAATCGTTATTAATAAAAAAATATCATAGTACAACTTTGACCATCAGTTTACATTTTTTTAAAAAAATATCGTAAATACGAATTTATATTATTTAAGAATCTAGTGTTCTCGGTAGAATTGGATCGGTCCGGCCCGGTACGGTCAAAGAAGACCGATCTTTTATCTTTCTTTGGGACGGTCTTTAGAATATGAACCGAGGAACGGTCCCACCAGGATCGATCCAATAAAAACCTTAAATCTCATATTAAAAACAATTTAATAAATTAGTTCTTAAAGATGCATGCATTTACAAGGTCGGATTAAAATTTGAGTTTAAATTCACGAACTAATAAATTAAAATCTAAAAGTATATATATTTTTATTCTATTTTTATATATTCTATTTGAATCCAGACCCATATTATGACAAACTTAACATTTAAAATTCAATCACATTAATTCATTTCGTTAAATCGTAATGTATTTTTTATTTATTTTTATTTATTTGTTATAAAATAAAGAATATTAATTTTTTTTGCTTAAATGACTTAAATCAACAAAAAAATTATTTTATCATTTACTGAAATAAAAATGTAATTAAAAAAAAAACTTAAAATACAATTACAAAAATAAAACATTATGCTTTTATTAGCAATACTCTTTTATTAAGATAAGCGAAATAATTAAAAAACAATATATAAAAATAAGAAATAGTAGAAATTATTTCACTCATAACTTTTCACTTCCCAGCCCGCTATTAAATGTAAAAATGGATGAGAGAGTCAACAGATCACTGATCACCAAACAGGAATCTAGAGAGGATCACCCGAGACAACCATAGTAGGAATCTTGAACGGGATCACCTAAGGGATCACCCGAGCTCACCTAAGAGGAATCTAGTGCGAGGTCACCACTGATTAGATTCACTGAGGAATCCAAAGCGAACTTTCTCAATGTTGATCTATACTTATAAAATAAGGTCCTTTTTATTCAAAACCTTCATTTTCAGAAAATTGTGGGATTTCAGGTTGTTGATCAAATGTCATGTGATTATGAATGCACATAAATTTAAAATCAGTTATTTTGTCACACACGATTTCTCAAAACTTCAACTTCTTGACTTTTACAAAAATCCGCAAATGCTCGACAACGTGCAAAAAATTTTCGCTTTCAAAGAAAAATGGTGCTGAAGCACAAAAAGAAAATGAAAGAATATTTGTGAACGATCAGTGCACAAGCTAGTTACGATGTTAACAAGAATAAAAGCTAATGAAGGAAGGTTGCAAAGGGATGTAAAAGAATCAAGGACAAGGAGCTATCATTTGGGACGTGCTTTGAAAAGAGGGATTTACTTTGGATTCGCCGAGTGGATGGATTTTTGTAAGTGCTTTTCAGTTTTATTAAGGTCATTGTGTGGGTTTACTTGTTGGATTTTATTTGAGGAGGTTTTATTTTTATTATTATTCTGAATTTTAAATAAAACTTCTTTTTCACCATGTTTACTTAAAATTTTAAAACTTTCTTTTTGTTTTTCGTATGGTTGATAGCACTCCCTCCCCTCCACTTGTTACTGTCCCTCCCCCTTCCTTATTTCAGTTCCTTCACCTCCTGTTACAGCTGCAACTTCAGTACTACCTCGCCCTATTGCTCCTATCCGTCGTTTTTCTAGGTGGCCAGAGCTATAGATCTTGATCCTCCCAGCATTCTCGTTGCCATCGATTATGGTTTATACCATTTCCCTTCGTTTTTAGCTGGCCACCTCTCCTTCTTATTTGTAGTCTTTGAAATCCTCAAAAAAAATTAAAAAAAAACTTTATACCCTTTGAAAATTTTCACTAGGGTGCTTATCTTTTGAGAAGCATGACTACGATACCTTGAATTATTAGTCCGGAGCGAAGCGAAGGACTTTCACATACTAGCCACATATTACACGAGGTGTCCCGTTGTCCGCCCGCTCGCAGCTTGAGCTGATCGTGATTGGTCGTACTGTTACATCCTGTTTAAATA